CTGGACACCTGCAGGCTCGATTTCTGGGGGTTCTGCCCAAGGAACCTCCGTGAATTGACTGTTCCCAAAGTTTGCCGTTGAATCCCACCTCGCCCTCAGCCTCACCTCGCTTTGCCGGGCCACCGCAGTTTGTCGCGTCCCCGTGGCTCCGCGCCGGGCAGCGGGGCTCAGCCGCGCTCCCCTGTGCCTCTAGAAACCGTCCCGCCGGCTGAGGGAGCTCCGGGTCAGGCGTTGCGGTGAAACGATTTCTCCTCCAACTCCAGGTCTCGACCCTCAAGAGAGGAACCCTGAAAGCAGGAAGCGGTACAGTGAGATATTCCGGACCCTGGACGCCATCGAAATCTCGATTGGGAACACGTACGTAGAGAAACGGGGCCGGACTGCTCCTCTGGCTCTTTGGAACCTCAATTTATTTCATCGCCATTTTTTTCCCCATGATGCAGGGCGGTCGATATGTTCACTGGTGATGCTGACAGCACCGACGACGCGGACCTGACTGCAGAAAGAGACGTCGTTCCGGTAGGCAAAGAATGAAATCCATTTTATGAAAGAAATCATCGATGGCCGTCGCCAAAGTGCATGATTCTACGTTGCTGAATTCTCTGCTGTTAAATTCTCTGCTGTTAAAATTGGGTTTGGGTGGTCATCTGAAAAAAAATACTCACAGCTCTTACTTGAATAGACAGAAAATACCTGTTATCTTGGTTATCAGTGATGGAGGCAGCAACAGAGCCGATAGCATTTAGTGGAACCATTCAGGCACTTTCTGTTTGGATTTATGTTTTCCTGAAAAATAAGATGTGGGAATTGCCGGTTGGAGTTCTGCGTGCTAAGAAAAAGACAAGACAGCAAACGCAAAATACTTTTGCGTCATGCATCAAAAAAATCTCTAAAATCTTGGCCTTAAGAAACAGAAGACCTTCAAAAGAGAACTTAATGTTTTTTCGCTTGCTTTGGGCAGTACGGGGCTTTTGGGGATAATCAGCCTCATTTCACGCTTTTCTGTATAAACAAAGGGGCTAGGAACTTCATTTTTCTCTGACAGCGACTGTTCTTGTGTAACCATACTGCCCCATGAGCTAAACTGGAAAGTAAAACCCAAATACTTTGTGATTTCCAGCAAAACGAGAGCTGCCAACATTCACTCTTGCGGCCCTTCCCCAGCCTTGACCTCTCTGCCCTGACGGGCGCTTCCTCCCCGTTGCTGTCTCTGGCGGGCTTTCCTGCCGCCCTGCCTTCCCCCTGCCAGGTCTCGGGCGGTTTTACCTGCACTGGGTGCCTTGGCTAAGCCCGATCGGCGCTCCGGCCAGCTTTTGGGAAAAGTCCTCCAAATTTCCAGATTTTCTTTCACTATTTTCCTCTTTTTTTTTTTTTCTTTTCCCCTCCGCAGTTGAATGAAAGTTTCTGCAAGAGCAAAACCAGTTCAGAGAGGCAAGTGCAGGCAGACCTAACAGGTAATATTGCTGATTGAAAACCAAAGAGGTGACGGGAGAACACTTAATCACCCGGCAACGGTCCTGGCAGCCTCCCGGTGACACGGGTGGAAACCGCCGGGGTGTCTGGTCTCGGGCGGAGCTCGGCCCGGTGCCCACGAGGATGCGGGTGCCCACTCGAGCTCAGTGGTCCCCCCGGCTTCTCCAGCACACCAGTCTTCCCCTGTTCGCCCATTAACACCTCCTTAAGGAGCTTCTCACGAGGAATTGATTTCTAAATACCGAGACAGGTCTGCTGGTTTTAAGCACAGTAAAGATCAACCCAGGGAAACTTGGGATACTCTGGAGCACGTTGTGACCCATTGGGAAGGTTCTCGCCAGCTCTGGACTTGCTGCTGGCACCACAAAATATAACGTAAAATTGGGCTTTCTTCATATAAAGTCCCTAAGAAGCAAAACCCCCCCCATTTCTAAGCTGCTTTCGCACAGATTTCAGCTGAACTGTGTTTAGATTTGCCCGCTGCAGCGTGATGAATCTGCATCGGGTTCCACCAAGGAACAAGAATACCTCCTGCAGCTCCCCAGCAACCCGTTAGGTCCTTCATTTTTGGATTTCAAAGCAAATTAAATAAAAATATTCAATTAAAAGGGAAATAGAACAGTGTAAATTACCTGGAACTTGCGTGGCTCCGTGGGTGGGACTGCATCGGGTCGCCATGAAGTAGGTTGTAATGACATTGTTCAGCAAAAGACCTTTTTTATGGCTGTTACCCGGGAATTTCGCAGCACCAACCCCTGAGACTCCAATTTGCTGCTGTTGGGGGAGCCTCTGCCCATCAGCCAGAGCCGTTCTGAACCTCCCTTCATTCTCTTGCAGTTCAGGAGGCCGACGAAATGCTGATAAAATGTGAAGGCGGCATCGACGCAGCGCTCGAGTACGCCAAAATGTGGTGTAAATACGTCAAAGAGCTTCTCAGCTGGATTGAGAAACGCCTGAGTTACGGTGAGTCTGCACAGAACAGGCTGGGAGCCCGTAGGCTTTTGGGCTTTTTAAATCATAGCCAAGATCACAGGGTTGCAAGCAAAAGCAGAGCAGGGAGGAACTGGCCCAACACCAACCCGTTTAGTTGCTTTTGCCTGAAGATAAAGACACGGAGTCGGGGTTTCTCCTTCCCTGAGTGACACAGATTGACTGGAATGACCCCTGGCTTTGACCAACCCGCCTCTACCCCCGTGAATCTGGTCTCTAATCCACTCTGCCCTTTCACAGAGACAGAGTTTGCCAAAGGGATGGTGAAGATTGCGGAATTGGGACGAAATGCCGTCTTCCAACAGGTACGGGTGCTTGCGGTGCTCCTGCTTCACTGCACGGGGTTCCCTTGGGAGGAGGAGGAGGGTGGGAGTCCTGTGCGGAGCAAACATGAGGCTGTCTGCACGTGTGGACGGCTTGTAGAGTCCAGCTTAAATCCTACAGCAAACAGGCCTCCAAAGCTCTTCCTAAACCTCTCAGTATTGGAACAGCCCCTTTTTAATTTCCCCCGGGCTCATAACACAGAGTGATTCTTTGGAAAATTAGGCAGAGGATTCAGCAAGGCAGGGCATGGAGTCAGCACAACACCGCCCAGCATGGAAACCCTTCAGCTTCTGGCATCCTGCTGCCTGTGTTGGCTGAAACACCCCCCCCTCGCCCAACCGGTGCAGACGCTCCCACCTTTCTGTAATAGATCTCGGTCACAGACACCGAAAGCTCTTTAATTTAGGAAAGCTGCAGCGATTATCCATCATTTTGTATCCGCTTTTTTTGGTTCCTGCAGTACAACATGCCTCTCCGGGCGCTCTATATGATGGTCCTGGAACACGACATAAAGATTGGGAACTCAGCTACTGAGACTGCAGGATTGCTCCAACAGAAGGAATTCTACCAGGTACTGTGTTTCTCCTGAAAACCTGCTGCAAGATTAGATGGGAGCATCCCAGAGACCTAGCAAAGCGATTTATCCTGGTCTGAGCGGGCAGAGGGGAGAAGAGAATGAAACGCACACCGAGTTTCAGGGAAAGCAGCACCTCCAAGGCTCGCTTTCCAGCATCATGCCCTCAGCTGCCAGGTACTTTTTCCTGCCTCGGGAGGAACTGTTGCTGTCCTAACTGCTATTCCTCCGCAGCCTCTGTCAGCCAAGAAGAATGAAATCGAGAAATGGAGGAAAGAATTCAAAGACCAGTGGACAAAGGAACAAAAGAGAATGGTGAGAGGCCACTGGGTGGGCCTGACCTGTGTGCTGGTCACGGCTCAACACACTGAAAACAAGTGTTTGTGAACCAGCAGTAGCTCATGCGATACACACGGCGTCTGAACAACGGTCCTTCTTTAAAGAGGGGAAGGGGGAGCGCTGCAGCGTTCCTTGCCATCCTGCCTGCTGGATCCCACCGCCTCCTGCCGGCTGCGGAGCCTGGCAGAGGGGGGACGCGGCTCGGGCTGGCCCGCGCTGGCACGGGGCTGCCTTCAGCCCAGAGCCATCCCCCGCAAAGGCAGGCTCTGTGCCCGCGCCCCCCCGCCAGAACCCGGCTGCAGGCGCTATGCCAGCGCTCGGCCATCAGCCCTGGGCTCCAGGGGTTCCTGCTGGGGAGGAGGATGCCCCTGGGCACCCTGCAGGATGTGATCCAGCACGGCTGGGTCTCTGCTCAGCTGTGGAGGAAACCCGGGGGCTCCCTTAGAGCTCCTGAACTTTGGGAGGGAGGGAGGGAGGGAGGACACTGATGTCCACGGGGATGATCACACCCATTTGAACCAAGAGACAGGCGCTTTCCTCGTAAGCAGAGCCCCGCTGCGACTCCTTCCTCGCGGGGCTTCCCAAACCTGCTCCTTTTCCCCTTCAAGAACGAGTCCTTGTCGTCCCTGCGCAAGTCCCGCCTGCAGTACATCCAGCGCTGCGAGGAGCTGGAGAAGGCAAAGCACCTGAGCGCCAAGGCGGAGGACGAGTACCAGAACGCAGCCGCCACCAACCCCGGCAGCGCCAGCAAGCAGCTGGAGAAGCGACGCCGTTCCTGCGAGGAGGCCCAAGCCAAGGTGACGGGTTCAGATCAGGCCGCCGGGAGCCGCAGCCACCCCCACGGAAACGGCGTCTTCCCACCCGTCCTGGTGACTTTCTCCTCCTCTGCTCCGCTGCGGGTCGCGCACAGGTTCAGGAAACAGAAGCTTTGTACAAGATGTGCATCAGCGACGCCAACTTTCGGCGACAAGAACTGGAGAAAGTGCGAGCGCGGATCGTCTCCCACATCCGGAAGCTCATCTACCAAGGGGACGAGGTGCTGACGTGGGTACGTGTGGTCTTGTAATTTCTCCTGTAATCCTTGTTCCAGGGAGACTGCTGCTTGGGATAAGACCTCTAGGGTCTTCAGCATTTCACTGTTGAACCACCCTCTGCTGACCGTCCCCAAGCAGCTGAAATGCTCTGGACGTTGCTTTGCTACGAAAAAATCTCGGACATATAATCACATTTTCAATTGCTGCTGCTTTGAGGACACGGATATCCACAGAAAAATCCTGGGGGGGGAAAATCCCGGAACAAGAAACAGTGACAAATAAATTTGTACCCGATCTGTTAGGCAGAGCTATCGATAAGCAGAAGTGCAGGTAACTGAGTCTGGGTAATGAAAACAGCGGTCTGGTGAGTGACTGAGAGATCCAAGGGAGGAAAAAGCACCTGGGCTTCGACCAGCAACGAGTTTTTGTGTTGTCTCTCCCCTGTAAGGTCACTTTAAGGATGTTCAAGCAGCGGCAGACTCAGTCGGAACAGATTCCAGTGGGATACCAGTACCTCTCCGAGGTCTGCAAGCCGTACAAAGCCGGTGAGAAATACCTGGAGTTCATTCAGGCCCTGCAGAAGAAAGACATTCACGTGGAAGTGTTCGAATTCGAGCCACTCACTCACGGAGGGCAGAGGTAACAAAGAAAAAAAAAAAAGTAGAAACTTACTTCCTAGCTGAAAGTTCAGAAATCTGTGGTGCACAGAACAACAACAAAAAAGTTTGACACACATTTATGGAGTCATTTTGACTTCTAAATTTTCCCTGCCAATAGAGAAGGTGAAGTTATATTGAACAAACTTGTTTCCCTGGTTTTGTGCCAGTGTTCATTATAGTCTCCTGGAAAACCCAGCTGCCAGCTAGCCATGCATTGACTCAGGTACCCACACGGCACCTTGGTGATCCAATAATGTCCGGTACTCACTGCTGGAAAATGGCTTGCAACCCCTCCTCAGGTCCCCTCCCAGCGGCAGAAAGAGGATGGCATTGCATCCCGCAGGACCCTCTTCCGCAGGAAAGGACGCGAGCACGCCAGAAGATACGTCCAGAAAGCAGCTCTCCGCAGATGGCGAGCTGAGTAGGTTGAATTTAACAACGACGACCCGATTTTCTCTCGGGTCACTGTGGTTTAACGCAGATTAGCAGCCAAAGAGGTGCGAGAGGTTCCCAGATTCTTAGGGCAGCGCTTAAGGCTTTGCTCAGACTGGGAGAAAATGTTGACAAGCATTTATGGGTTTTCTTGGGAGCCTGGTTTGCGCTTCAGCCCCGTGTTGAAGTATCCCGAGAGCACTCGGGGTGGTCTCTCACGGTATCCACCTTCCGCAGGTGCGAACAAATCCCTCTGCAGTGACACGGAAAGCCTCGGTGGGAGCTGTGAATCCCGGTCCCTGGACTCTCCTAATTCTAGCCCAGGTAAGAGCCACAGAAATTCTTGCCTAATATTGCCCAGAAATGGGAATAAAGTCAACACCGACCCGCTTTGTGCGTCCTGAGGACGAGAACAGCTGTTTGTATTTTCTCTCTTCTCCAGGCAACTCCGATAGGAAGTTGTTGAAAGCTCCATCCACTGGCACCGTGTCCTCCTCAGATGATTTCGAAGAACGAGACTCCTTGCACACTTTTGAAAACGGTGAGCCGCACACGTGTCCGACTCACTGGGTGAACCCCGGCTCACGCAGCGGTTCCTCTTCACGCTGCAAATGCTGTTCCCGCAGAAAACGGCACCTCCCAGCAGCAGGTTAGGAACATCCCCCTCTCCAGCGCAGCGCAGACCCACCGGCTGCGGAAGCTGCGGGGGCCATCCAAGTGCAGGGAGTGCGACACCTTCATGGTCAGCGGCTTCGAGTGCGAGGAGGTGAGGGCTAGCAGAGGTCACCGCGGACGCGGGAGCCCGGGGTGACCCTTGTCTCGCTGAAGGTCTCCTCGAGGAAGCCACCAGCTGCCACTTGCCTGAAACAACCCCCTCGGGCTTGGCGGGACTTGGGTGGTCGAGGGAGCAGGAGAAGTCCTCCAAGTTCTGCCACCGCTGGACCACAACCAGAGCACAACTCGGGTCGGTTCTGCCGTTTCAGTGCTGCCTGGCCTGCCACAAGAAGTGTCTCGAGAACCTGCTCATCACCTGCGGCCACAAGAAGCTGCCCAACCGAGTACCCCTTTTTGGCATCGACTTCGCGCAGGTTCCTCGCGACTTCCCAGAGGAAGTTCCCTTCATCGTGGTGAAATGCACCTCGGAAATTGAAGCCCGTGCCCTCGGGGTGCAGGTGAGCCGTCAGTTGTTCTTGTTTCCGTCTCCCCTGCTCTGTATCCAAAGCTCCTGACCCCTCCCCCCCTCTGAACCGCGCAGGGGATCTATCGGATAAGCGGATCCAAAGCCCGGGTGGAAAAGCTGTGCCAGGCATTCGAGAACGGACGGAGCCTGGTGGAGCTCTCCGAGCACTCCCCCCACGACGTCACTGGGGTCCTGAAGCATTTCCTGAAGGAAGTGGGTACCAGACCTCTGCCGGGAGGGCAGGTCTCAGCCGACCGCGGCCTTCCTCGGTGCCAGACCAGCAGGATGAAGTACCGGCTGTTTTCCTCCCCTCTTGCTGCAGCTTTCGGCACCGGTGCTGCTGTCCCAGCTCTATAACGATATCATCGCGCTGGCCAAAGATTTGCAAAAACCTGGGGAAGACAAGTTGGACTGCGCAGGCTTCCCCTCCGACCCCATCCAGAGCATGAAGGACTTGCTGAGCAGGTTGCCTGGAAGCAACTACAACACTCTGCGGCACCTCATTGCGCACTTGTACAGGTGAGGAGCGTGCTGGTCACCACGCTGGTCAGCGTCAGGTCCGGCCGCAGGAGATCCCCGCCAGAGGAGCAGCTAGCTCAGCACCAAAGAGGTATGAGAGGAGCTTCTGGGCTTCCTCGCCCTGGGAGAGCCAAGCAGGCAGTTGAGGAGGGTAAAAAAACCCAATCATTCATGGAAAGGACCACCTTGCAGCAATTAGGAGAAAGTCTTAACGACCAAGAAGGACCAGAAGGTCCTTACTGATAAAGCTTCATAAAGCGCAGAGCAAGAGGTCAGGGAACAGCACGAATCAAGCCCTCTCTCCCCCAGCTCTGGACGCAGGCCACGAGAAACAGCCGCTCTCATTAGGGCTGCACCATCCAGGCAACTTCTGAGATTTTTCTCCGGAGTTTCCCTGCACAGACCAGAGCTCTGTTCCCCGTAAAAGACAGGAGTTCTCTCTCTGCCAGGGAATGGGGGTTTGGTGCATTCGGGTCGAGAGCTGGGAGGCCCCTAACAGTCCTGTTTCCCTTCCCCAGGGTGGCAGAGAAATACGAAGAGAACAAGATGTCCCCAAACAACCTGGGCATAGTATTTGGGCCAACCCTGATCCGGCCAGGCTCAGGGAGCGATGTCTCAATGTCATGCCTTGTTGACTCTGGGTATCAAGCCCAGATTGTGGAGTTTCTCATTCAGAACTACGAAAGGGTGTTTGGGATGGATGACCTGCCTTCATCCTTGTCCCTCGGATGTGAAAATCCTTCGCAAGAAGCATCGACAGAAAAGGATGAAGGACCTCAGAGCCCAAACACGGCCCAGACCATAACTCTAGAGGTAGAGCTCCCAGAGGCTGAGCTGGGCTTGCTGACCCTGCTGTAGAGACAGGAAGGTGGACTAGCGATTAAGGAACTTCTTTCACAAATAACAAAACTGTTTCCTATCAGAGGGTTATTCTGAGGAAGGAGCAGAGAGCCTGTTGCATGTGGAGTGGAAGAAATGGAAAAAAATTATAAGCTACAGATCACTTGGCAGCTTCTCAGACCACTCCGGATGGTGGTTTTGCTCCCCCGTTTTAGATCCCAGTCATTCTGGAAAATTGTGGGGTTTCTCCATCCAAAATTGCGTGGGACACTGCTGTTTCTCTCTGCAAACAGCTCTACAGCTTTGGAAGCAGCTACTTGCACTTAAGACCCAGCAGATCCCCCAGCACAGCCCTACAGGGCTCTGCTGCCTCCCCGAGCGGTGGCCACGGACCCTGGTTTCCTCCCGCACTACCGAGTGTTCTGCGTTCTTCCCCAGCTCCACGGCTCTCTCCTCACCGTAGTTCACAACCTATTTCACAGCCCTTTGAAACCACAGATGGGCATAGCATCCCCGAGCTGGGACGTGGGGTTTGTTTTTTTCCTTTCCACAGTTGTTTGGTGAGCAAGAAAGAGGAAATGACTTTCCTACAGTTAAGCCAAAGGGGGAAAGATCTGGGTTCAGGGACTCTCTGCCTTCTGCAGTCATGGATGCTTGTGGGCCAGACTGCGTGTCTGCAGCGACCCTGTCCATGGCTGACACGCAGTAATGCTGCTTTCTCCACAGGTCCAGCTCCCTGAGGAAGCAGAAATTAGAATAACTATGCTTGAAATAAAATCACCAGGGTAGACACAATCCGCTTCTCGTGTGTGGGGATCCTACAGGATTAATCACCCTTCACAAACAGCATTTTTGGATACACAACTACCGCCTTTGGCCGCTTTCAAAGCCATTTTTACCTGCTCCTGCAGCAGGATTCTGCAGAAGGTGTTGCAAACCTTTAAAGAGGGGAGTCGCTTCTAAGGGCGCTCTCGTTTTGCCATGAATAAAACTGACATCTGGAGCCCCTGCCCAAGTGACCTTGTGCAAGCGCACCCTGGTTCCGTACCAGCTGTGACTCCCAGGCACTCCCGCGCCCTTCCCTCATCCTCTCGTTTGCATTTGACAGCAATTACTGTGCTCCAGTCACCGACATGTCCCCTCGTTGCTCTGAAATGGGCCGCTTCAGCGTCCCGCGGGACACGGGAGTCGCTCTGAGCGCGCTGCTGCTCCGCACAAGGCAGCGGCTGCTTCCTGGGGCGGCTTTTGCGGCAGCTGTGGTCTGCCAGCATGGAAGCTGCAGTCGGCAGGTCCTGAACCGTAATTTTCTCTCATGGCCCTGCCCTGTGACCTTCTGCAAGCTCCTTCCCTACTCCCCCAAGCGTTACAGGTAACCTAAGAGCCCCCGAGGCATTTTCAGCTCAAGCCGTTGCCTCCTTTCACTGGGTTCTGACAGCAGCCGGGGTGAAGCGGGAGTTGACAGTACCTTCATGTCAAATAAGAGCCCTGTGTAAACACTCATGACTTTTTCCAGCAGAACTTCTCCTCCAAGCACGGTTTAGATGTGGACAGTGTCTCTGCTAACTCATCTTCCAGGGAAGCCATCCGTGAGCTGACTCAGGAGGGAGCCCGCAGCCCGTCAAGCGCGGATGCCCCAGGTAAACGGGGCGGTGGTGACGGTGGTGCTGTTCTAGGCTGTCTTGCACCGCGTTTGCTGGTTTTCTCACCTCCCGCCTGCCTCTACGCTACGCAGCGGAGGAAGCGCAGCCGGGCCCCCTTCGGCAGCGCTGCTCTTTGTGCAGAGAACCTATTGCGGAGCAACCGCCACGTAGCTCGCACGGAGCCACGGGCACCTTCTCGGCTGTGCTCAGGAGGGGCTTTTCCCTGCCGCTGCCTCGGCTCTCGTGCCCGCGGTCACCTCTGCCAGCTCTCCGGGCTTTAACGCCTCGAGAGCAGCCCTGGGAATATAAACCCAATTCGTATCTCATGCCTCTTTCAAATGTCTGTCTTGCGATTGCTCTTGATTAATGAGGCTGATAGAGGGGGGTGTCAATGGGGGAGGGATCTCAGTGTCCTTTCTAAGGGGAAAAGAAGTCATCAGCCAAACGGGTTTGTCATAGCAACCTTGTCTCGCTGTTCTAAGCTAACTGCCCGATTTTCTGTTCAGAGATGAACACAAGCGTCGGCTCAGAGCTGGAGGACCTGGAGGACTCTGCGCAGGAAAAGACAGACAGCGATTCGGACACGGTGCTGGGGACCCAGCCCAGATGCCATTTCAGCCGACAACCCGTAAAATACATTCGAACGCCGGTGAAAACCAAGCCAGTCATTCCCAAATCTTCCAGTCTGCCCTTGGGGACTACTGCATTAGCCAACGTGGCAACAGAGTCTGGCGCAGAAGGGAACCCTGCAGACTGCAGCTCCGCCACCAAGGATGTCCTGGAGGAGGGCACTAGGAACAGCTCGAGTGACACAAGCACGCTCAAGCAGCGCTCAGGAGGGAGACAGCAGCTCAAACACTTTGAGATCACGCAGGAAACCGCCAGGATTGTCTCAAAGTTTAAGTTCGATGACACTTCTGCGTCCCCCGAGCCTTCTCTGGAGAGCACGGGATCTACTGCGAAGGGAGAGGACCTCAACCCGGGGACATACCTGTAGAGGAAACCCTAAGGGTGACTGATAACAGCGATGGAAGGGAGAGGGGGCTGAAATCGCCCTCCTGCTGCGCAAGGGAACAGCGATGGGGTGAGAATAACACCCGGGTTGTTTTTACCACGCAGGCTGGAGAAAAGGCCCCTGCTGTGAACTGCCTGCTGGGCTTTGAGCTAACCCAGGATTTGCTCTTTGTTCGTTACCAAACCCACGCCAGTGACAAGAAGCAAGCCCAGTGCCTCCCTCTGGAACATGCCGAAGGACAATGGGAGCAGTAGAGGAAACGCAGGTTGCCTGGCTGGAAAGACGTAGCCAGGAACGAGGCAACTGAAATGTCGGACGTCGGACAGAAAATGTTCCCAGACGGTCGTTTTCTGGCAGCTGCAACAAGCCCTGATTTTTGTCATTTTTATTTCACAACATTTTTGAGCGTTACTCACTTTTTGAGTGTGACAGAAGAGGGTGCGCGGGCAAAGCTCACGTACTCTGGATCCTCCTGCTTCCTTGGCTGGAGCTTCAACTTGCTGGTCAGCACAAAGCCGTTCTGCAAAGGGAGAAGACACTGCCGTACTCTGAGCCGGACCCGTTTCTCCGAAACATTCATTCTATTTCCCTCGAAACACGCTGAGCTTCTGCAATACTTCCCCGAGAAGCTGTTGGTGCCGTGAAGAAGGCAAAGCCCTGAGCCCCCAGCAGACAAGAAGATTTCTTGGCTCTAAGACCGAGGTGCTCTGACTTGTTGGGTCTCCCTCTCACCTGCCCGTGGGTTGGGTTACCCCAACGCTCCTTTCTGCCTCCCCGCCGCGGATTTTCTGTCCGCCAAGCTTTAACGTGAGGAGAGGGAGCGCTCTGTCCTGTAGTGCCCTCTGGTGACACCGGCGTGGGGGTGACAGAGCCTGCTGGCCCGGGGACAGCTTTGTGGGAGGGGATGGGCAGCGCTCCAGCTTTCCTTGGTGCGTGGTTGTGCCTACAGCGTGAAACTCGGACGACAACCTAAACACTTCTGCGCTAGGGCGGCTTTCGGGAAGGGCGACCATCGCTGCAAAGACCCCCGGCGTGCAAAGACCCCCGGCGTGCAAAGACCCCCGGCGTGCAAAGACCCCCGGCGTGCAAACGCTTTCCCCAACCAGCTCAAGAGGTGGAGCAATCTACTTCCCAAATTCCTTCCACCTCATCCACAGACCTCGTTTCGGTCCCGTTTCTTAACAAGGCTCTAAAAGCGGTGCTAGGGATCTGTTCTGAGCGTTTGTACAGTTCAGGCTAAAGAGAGCTCGCGTCTCCGGAGCAATGTATATTTGTTAATACAGTGCTTTGAACTCTTGAATAGTAAATTATCTTTTACTGTAGAACTTCTGTAATAAATCACGGGGTGTTTTAGTACAAGCTTATGCTGTATTTGTTATAGGTGAATGGGGAAGCCTTGAGCAAACACTTGCTGGTCTATTATTAACAGTGCCAAGTGCACTCGGGTCTCTCTAAAACAAAGGTAGCGCTTGCCCACAAGAATTTAAAATTTGAGGAACCTGCAGAATAATATCCCTGGTAAAACCCTTAGCTCCTTTTCCTGCTGCACACTGAAATAGTGACATAGGAGGTTCATTCTACACAGGAGAAGTGTCAGGGGCTTGTACGGTACAAACTGCCCTCCCTCCCCTTTTCCCTCCAGCATTCCAACACACACAAAAATGCCATTAGAGAAAGCACGCTCGCTCTTACCTCATAACTCCTCGTTACTCGCTGCTTTCCGCAGAGCCGGTAATTTGTCGAGGGCAGGAGCGGCCAAAGCAACGCTTCCAGCCCGAGTTGTGGGGCTGCCAGGTCCCCCTCGGCCAGGGAGAGCTTGGATGCAGGGTCCGACACATCTCTCCCCCTGCTCGGGATGGGGATTTTCTGTCATCCAGCCACAGGTAACGGGGATTGGTTTGGAAACCGAGATGCTGAATGGAAGAAGAAACTTGGTGAGGAGGGAAACAGCATTTCCTCAGTCCCTCCCACCTACTTGAGGCTGCATCTTCGCTTCAGCCTCAGCTGCAGCCCTGCACGGCGAGGGACAGGCGGCAGTCCCGCGAAGCGCCAGCAAGAACAACCCCATTTCCCCACCCAAAGCAGGAGCAGAGAAGACCTTGCAACCCCTCATCTTCCCAGCAGCCCCTTACGGAGGGGGTTGCCTGACCCTCCAGCTCAGAGCCGCACCACAGGGGGCAGCAGCACGGCCTGGGCCATTGGCAGAAAAAGCCAGAGCAACCCTCTCGAGAAACCTTTTATCAGCCAAACAACCAATAAACCAATTTCCTACTTCAAGCTTTTTTTTTTTTTTAAAAAATCAGCGAATGTGAATTCAGAGCACGGCGCAACCAGCCCGTCTCAGCCAGTCAATGCGCTTCCGAGCTTCGGTCTCTCCTCGCCTCGTTAAGTAAAATTAAAGCCCCAGGTCTTCACAAACGGGGATCTCAGCTGGGCTGCACACGCTGGACTCTGAGTGGAATCAGGGCAATTCAAGCACCTCGTAATTTTAGGCAGGTACCAAGAGATTCCTTTTGCTTAGAGAAGCCAGTCAGTGTTTGCAATTTGCTAATCACCGAGTGTTTAATTACGATCAGGCTGGTGACAAACTCTGCCCCACATTTCCTGCCCTCAAAAAAAGGAGCTCTTTAGTTCTAAAAAAAAAATATCAAAGCAGATAGACCCACAGGGGTCTTGAGGGGAAAACTTTCCAGGTTTTTCCAGCAGAGACAGCTGAGGGGTTACCCTCACGGAGTTCCAACAAAGCAAGATAAAGCAAGGCAAAAGGCATTTTTTTGTTTTTTTTAAGAAGCCTGAGGCTTCAGTCCAATTCTTGATCCCATCCTTCTCTCTTTCCTTTTGGTTTATTTCCTCCCCATTTTAACTTTCCTCCTGTGCTGTTGTTCATTATCATCTAATTGGAGAAGCTAAACGGGGATTCACACGCACCTGCCAGGTATTTCTTCAAATCACCCCCCGAAGGGGAGCTGGGTGGGAAGGAGCCAGCTCAGGGCATTTACCGGCTGGAAACCGGCCGCGTTCGCAGGTGTTTCCCCTTGACCCCTCAGCCCTCCTGCGCTGCTGCCTTTGAAAGGCAGGGACGAGGGGGCTGCTTATAGCTGGGGGCTTTGATGGGGGAACATGGGAGTGCGGTGGGGTTTGCTGCTGCTCTCCCAGGAGCAGCCTTCCTCCAGGAGCTGTTGTGCTTTGCAGAATCCCTCCTCTAAGGGTAAGGAATATTCAGTCATCAGGCTGTGCCTCGTGAAAGGCAGCAGAGCCTTTGTGATTTGTTAAACCAGCCCAAGTACTAGACAGTATCAGAAGAAACTGGTTTAGAGATTGGGGCCCCTTTGTAGATCCTCTGCTTCCTGCTCTGAGAGGAGCCGTGGGGACGTGTGTCCTCGCAGCAAGCCCCGTCTCCGGGTCTCCATAGTGGGCGGCGGCGCTCTGGGAGCGCGTTGAGCGGATGCCTGCAAGGAGAGGAGCTGTTGCTGGGTCTTGGTGTGAGCAGGTAGGTAGGAAAGGCCTTTCCCTGAGTCAAAAGGGGGTCAGCGTGAGAAGCTGTTCACAAAAAGGCTCCTCCTGCGGCCAGCTTGGGCACAACCCCGGGCGTGGGGCTGGGCAGGAGGTTTTATTCCTCAGGCGAGCGGTCCTGCTGTCACCTCGAGCAGGGTGCTGCCTCGCTCGGTTACCGCTGCAGATCAGCGCAGGCCCTTGCGTTCTGCCTCGCTCTTCTGGCAGCTGCCAGTCAGCACCAAGTTTGCTTTTATTCCCCCTCCCGGACTGTTGTGCTGCCTCGCGGGGGCTTAGCAGCAGGCACGGCTGAGTAGTGGCAAGTGAGGTGACTCCTCTGTGCATTGGGCATCAACTCCAGCATGTCTGGAACGCTGGGGTGTATAAAACCAGTCCGTGTGATTGCATTCTTGTTTTATTTTACTTTGAAAGCTGCCTTCCAACCGGCAACGAGCAGATGGGATGAGGCAGAGTGCTGGGCGGATGAGGCAGTGAAAAGGGAGCTCCTCTGCGTGTCTTGCTGGGGGCTCGTGCTGCTGCAGACAAACAGCTTTAGTTTTCTTCGCTCTCCCTCCTGCCCCGCTGTCGCTGTGGGGTTTGGGAGTGCGCAGAGCGATGGTACCTGTAACGTGGGGGAGAGGGGACAGCAAGTAAACCAGGCGCCTGAATTTCTGACCAGCCAAAACTCCCACGTCTGAAGTTCAGAAAACGCTTTTGGGGGGGGATTTTTTGCTAAAGATGCTGAGCTCCAACGCGCTTCCATCCCCCGCTTGTGTCCCAGGGCAGGCGTGCCAGTAGGTGCCGTAACCTCAGGGCATTCGCGAAAAGCAGCATGTGCAAAGGAAAGTCTGGCATGAACCAAATCAAATATGCAAGTCTGCCCATCCGAGCTTGTGGCTGGAATCCTGTCAGGGCACTGGCTGCTCTCCCCTATCATTTACTTTAAAAAAAGATGTGTAGAGCTGTAATTCCAGCTTTGCTTAGGCAGTGAGTTTCAGATACTTGGCATCCAGGGCCCTGGAGACGGTCAGTTTTGTAGGTGTCTCATAAATGGGTTTCGAGGGAGTTGTATTTTTCAGTATAAAGCTGCTTAATAAATGGCACTTGTAGGCGTCCTACGCCCTTCACAAGAATGACTTCGTTAAGGGAATATTTTTCTTACGAGCAAGAGCTTTCTTGTTGCTTTTAATCCATTTGTGGCAGAAGAATTCATGGAAGCAAGCATCCAAAGTATCTTTCCACTAGAAACGTGCCTAAAAGCTGAAAGTTTTAGGAAGTTAGTAAAATATCACCAAACCTGACCCGAAGTTCAGGAGCGAAGCCAACAAAAGTAGAAAAGATGTTTCATTTGTAATGGAAACGTTGAGTCTTACGGGCCAGACTGGATCCTTTCAGTTACCCCCTGCTCACTGATAGGCAAAGGGCAAAGAGGATCCCGGCTCTGGTGGCGAAGGCAACAAAACCCGCCTGGTTTTGGCTGCTGACCAGGC